TTAATTCGACTTTTAATCATTCATATGAGAGGCATTTGTGACTATAATTTTAAGGTATTTGTCGGATATTTTATAAATTTGGCAGCATACACCGTTTCAACGTAATCCAAATCTAATAAAAAATTGATTATTTGTACATACCTTATTATATGAGGAGCGCATTAGGTAAAGGAAATAATTGCATTTAGCGATATTGACTTGGCTGAAGACTCGCTCAACTTCAGCATTTTAGCCATGGCAATGAAAGCCACGTTATGGCGAGTGTTGCCAATTCGAAAAATTCTTTGCTTTTTTTTTCTTTGCTTCAGCCCAAAAACGAACAGAGCAGTCAAGGTTTAACAACCTTATCGGCTAGTGAATATTATTGTATTGGGCAAAACTTCAATATCTAATGGATCTTTTTTCGTGGCAATATATTTGCTTAAAAAACACTACACCTTGCACTCTAAGTCTAGCACTCAGTCTAGCTAAATTTTCCGGCGCCCGAATCAGGGAGGTTATTCGATTCGTATGGAAACGATGAAATTGTGTGCCCTTTATTTTGTTCGACTGGAAGCAGCAGGCGTTTAGTTTCCCTGAGCTAGTGGCTAGGGTGGCCAAGTCTTCGTTTCATTTTCGTAGACAAGCCTTAAGTATGACTTATTACTTATCACCGTCTGGGCAACCTTTTTTTGGGGATTTTGAAGCAAACACAGCCACCCGGTTCCTGTCAATCTTGTCAATATTTCATTGGCATAAACTATTTCTGCTCGTGTGCTGTGCTTTCTGTTTGAAATTTGTCTTTTTTTCAAAGTATTTTTCGCTCATCGCAAAAATGGATCAAAATTCTGGTGCCGTTCCGAAGAAGCTGCACACAGTGCCGGAGCTCAGTGCCGAGCATGTGCCGGCCAACGATTCCGCTGAAAATGTCCCTGGCAACGACTCGGACTTTCACAATGAGCCAATGAGCTTCCGTCGTGATAAGATCGACATCACAGAGCTGCGCAACTACTGCATTCAGCATGAGATGCCGCTGCCCATCATCGAGATTGTGCAGCAGTGCGGCACCCCATACGCACCTGAATACGTGGCCTGCTGCACGGTGGCCTCCATCAAGCGCTACGGCAGGGCGCGAACTAGGAAGGATGCCCGCCAGCGGGCCGCCATCGAGATGCTGACCGTCATCTCAGCCGACGAGGATCCTCATCCTCGCGATGCCCAGAATCACGATGTGGAGTTCGAACGTCGTGGCCCAAGGACTGGGGGCCGCAAGCTGTGCGATGCCCACAACTACTACAAGGAGTTCTTGCCGCACCTGAAGTCGGCCGCCTTCGAGGTCATCGATTCCAAGGACTACAAGAACGAAAAGGAGCAGCTGCTGGCCCTACTGAGTGCCCTCAAGATCACACCCAAATTCTCGACAGTTCCATCGACATCCGGGGTGACCCTTGTGAAGGTGCAGCTAAATGTGGATTTTGATAACCTTTTTATTGATTTAGAAAGCAAGATCTGTGGCTATATGATTAACTACTTTAAGGTTATGCTCAACTAGAATTTTATTACATATTAATACTTATTTAATGCAGAGCAATTGTTGGTTTTCTACTAATTTACTATGCACTTTTATCAGGCATTTATGGTCTGATGAGCTTGCTCCGAGATGTCGCTTATTTTATTCTGAGCAATTGGTTTTCTACTAATTTCTACTCCTATTTTGCGTGCATCATTTGGCCCGGTGGCGGTGCATACTGCAGCGCCATTGCTCGAGACCTAAGCTATGACCAAAACAAAAAGCAAGATCAGTTCACTTTTCAGACTAAAATTTCCTTGAATCTGAGCATCGAAACGGCATACCCGAAGCAACGATAATCCGTTATTGTTATGTCCCATAAGAAAGCTGATTCTTGATGAAAGTTATTCCACTGAGTCTCCTCTTTAACATTTAACTCGTTAACCGATTTCCTTGCGACAACTTTCTGTCCTCTGGACGACATAAGTTAAACAAAATTTGAACTTTCCGTCCACTCTATAGTTCTGTAATAATAAACCCCTTCACATGGGACATGCACATATGTACAGTATATGGCACCCAGCTATATGCAGTATCTGCAAATACATATGTACATCGTGCATGTGCCTGTATGTGCTTCCCGAAATCCTTTTATTTTGTACAACTCTCCCTTTATGCAATTTATTTGCCAGCATTCTTCGTTTTCTGCTGCTTTTAAGCTGTTTGAGTTTTTTTGGGTGGTTTTTTTTTTTTTTTTTGTTTATCGAACTTTCTTTTGGCATTTCAAGCAGCAGCAAAAACAACCAAGGAATTTTTGTGTTTTTTTTTCTTTTGGAAGAACCGAAGCTATAGCTACTCTCACATGCCATATGGAAATGCCTTTGGTTTTTCACATATTGTTGCATTATAATCTGTAAGCTGATCTGGCATATATCTACGCAAGTAAAGTGGGAAAACGTTCTGCTGTGCAAAGTTGAGTTCAAATTTTGGGTACCATGAAGTTTGAGTGCCTAAGGGGCGAGTGCAGATCCTTCTATGCATTGGCTAACGTCTGCATGATAGCGTACTAGCGCAGTACCCTTTGCAAAGGGTATCCAAATGGCAAATGCAATTTTGGGTTTCGCATTCTCGCAAGCTTCTTGCTACCTCTATACCACTTTCTACCTCTTTCTTCAGCTGTGACTACTCCTTTGTTGCCGCCTGGCCCTTGGCATGGCACTCTGGCCCTCTTTTTCTCTCTCAGTTCTAACTCTTTTTCTGTGGCGAATTTTGACGAGTTTTTGTTTAGGGATATCTCTCTATACCCCTCTCCTTCTCTTCCACTACCTTCCTTTGTAAGTGTGTGCGTGTGTGTGTGTATTTGATGACCATTTTGTATACTCTGGACATAAAACGCAGCCAGCATAAAGTTCTGTTTCCCCATCTCTCTTCCCCTCTTTTTTGTTTGTTGTTGTTTTTTGGTTTTGGTTTTGTTTGCTTTATACCCCGCCTCCGTTTGCCATCGTGTTTTAGTACTAAAAGTAAGAAAGCACGAAAAAAAAGACACCAAAAATAAAAAGGTAGCAAAATTGTTTGGGGGCTAAAATTCTTGAAATTTATTACTGGAATAGAGCAAGGGTTACACGATAAGAGAAGAGGCTGGGAGGGGCAGAGCTGAGCTGTGGGAGATGGCGATACTTTGCAAAAACACAAAACCTAATTCTGTTTAAACAAAAATGCATAAATATGTACATCAATATATATATAAATATATATAAATATATATATATTTATGTGCTTTCGCTTAGAACAGATTTGAGAACTAAGGAATAATCCGTTAACAGAAACCAATACGAGTACTGCAACTGGAATGTAATCCATAGTTTGTTTTTTTTTTTTTGCTGATTTAGGTATCTTAGATTTACTCGGCCCGTGTGCCATTTGAGTGCCATTTACTTATGCGAAATTTGCACGCACACACACGAGCTAATGTGCCACGATTGTATCCACGATTGTGGAACCATCACCTCGCTATGGCTTACAAGGAAATCAGTTTCCTCTTTAAAACTCCAACTCCAGAATTTACAATATCTGAGAGGATCGCCCCACGATAATCGTATCAAATGTGAATGCCAAGTGGGAAGGGAGCCCGAAGCCCGCTCTGCGCCACAAAGACGGAAATCAATTTATTTCGAAATACAATTACAACAAATCTGTGAAAAATCCCACAACAAAGCGGATTTTATAATTGCTCTTTTCATATTTTTTTTGTTCTTCTGTTTTTGTTCACTCGTTACACGATATTTAAGTACATTGACAGATTGGGGCCTGGTCCTGGTCCTGGTGCCGGGTTATTTTTATTAAGCGCCAACTCTGTCGATATATGTATGAACTTTATGTACTACATATATACATATGTATGTACATATGTATGTACATACTACTCGTATTCGTACCATATACTCATACTCTATGTGCTATTACATTGGTCGGAAAAGCGACAAAAAAAAAAAATAAACTTTTACCTGGCGCATAATATTTTCCTCTTCTCTTGCATAAAAGTGAGCACACAACAAAAATTATGAAAATTTTTATATGTACTGTGTGTATGTGCAAAAAAAGAGAAGCAACGGTGAAAACATCAAGTGAAGAAAAAAAAAGCACAGAGAAGGAGAGTGGAAGAGAGAGAGAAGAGGGGAAAATATAATAATAAAATGAAAATGAGGACGAACATTTTTATGTTGCTGCAGTCTGAAAGGAAAAACTCCCTCCCTATCCCTTCTTACCCTTCTCACATCCTTCACTCCCTACCTCCCTCCCTTCCACAAGCAACGTTTTTCGCTTTTCCTCCTCCAGCCTCGTGGAAAAACCTTCTCTATAGTCCCCACCGAAGTCATTGACGCTTCTTTGTTGCTGGAAAAAAAATCTCTCTCCTCTCTCTCTCTCTCTGGATGCTGGGACCCAAGGTTTTTTGATCAGTTCGCATGCTGGAGCATAAAGGGAGAATTTTGATTATTTATTGAAAAGATTTTGTGTGAAAAAATTTGCCATATTTGCCTTGAAATGTGAAAAAAAGAAAAAAAAAACAAACAAAAATCTTCACATTCCCAGGCCTGCATACAAAAAAGTTTTCCATTAATCATTGAACAGTTGGGTGGGCTCCGGCTCCAATTGACATTTACACGGACACGGCAAAATTTCCAAAAAGGATAACAAAGTTTATCGCGTAATTGAGTATAATACTCGCACATTGAACGAGAGAAAAAACAAAAAAAAAACAAAACAAAAATATAATAATTATTTTTATTCATGCGTGTGTGCTGGTATGCAGATATCTAGTATAATGGAAAAATAACTCTTAATTTATAGTCAATTTTTAATTGATTAAATGGCAATTGTACGTAAAAAAAACGAACTCCTTTGAGAGTTTTTTTATTCAATGGGTAAAAAGAGGTTTCTTTCGATGAAAGTCTTTTCATTGGATAGAAGTATTATGTATGTGGGGGCAGAAAATCTGGGTGCTCTTCCTCCTGCATTGTGGCACTTGAGCGCAGTGAGTCGCGGCTATGTGTTCTCCTTCAATTCTGTGACCAAACTGAAAACTCCTCTTCTCGTTTTCTTCCTTTTCGCTTACGCAATACATGACACCGTATTGAATCATCCAATTGCTCTCTTTAGCAACTCCCTTTTGATCCTCCTCTCTCTCAGAGGCGTCGTACACAACCGCGCCACACTCGGCTGAGACGACTCTCTCTCTCGTTCTCAAACCTCGCTCTCAGCAACAATGTGAATAGAAGGAACAACGGATTAATTACTGCGTAGTTTCTGTTCTCCTTTATTGACATAGTTTCTAAATTCTATACATTTCTGTTTACATTCATCAGTTCATCAGTCATCATCAGTTTTCGTAAATCTTCATTATACATCTCCCAACACTTATATAAGTAGAGTATATTGAGACAACAATTTGGTTGTAGAGCTGAATGAATAGATCAAACCCCTGCACCCATACAAGGTTTGTATTTTGGTCGGCATCCACTGCTACAGATATCTAATGAATTTTATGATTAAAAAAGAGAAATATATGATCTGATCATCTGATTTATTTATACGAATATCAAGCCAAAGATAAAGTTTTATAACATTTTTTTTACGTTCCGTCAACTTGGGAATTTAATTTGATTTATATTTATATTTATTTTGTTTTGTTAATTTATTTTTTAAGACTTTATTTTGTGGCATTAATTCACAACAAAAAAGCTAAAAAATTAAACGTCGTCACCAGGAACAGCAGCAGCAACAGCAGCAGCAGCAGCAGCAGTTCGGCCTCACCATGCAGCCGCAGCAGTACTGCCTGCGCTGGAAGTACCACCACAGCAACCTGCAGATGATGTTCTCGCAGCTGCTGGATCGCGGCTGCTTCTGCGATGTGACCCTGGCCTGCGAGGGACAAATGATACGCGCCCATCGCGTGGTGCTGTGCGCCTGCAGCACCTTCTTTGATTCGGTGCTCACGAGCTATGCCAGCGAGCGGGATCCCATCATTATCATGAAGGATGTGACCTTTGCCGAGGTCAAGTGCCTCATTGAGTTCATGTACAAGGGGGAGATCAATGTGGAGCACGTGAGTATACTGCCACTGAACACACTGAGTCCCCCCCCTGCCACCCTGCTCATGCTCATCACACTGTTTCTGTTTCGGTTCAGGCCAGCCTACCGTCGCTGCTGAGGACTGCCGATGAACTGAAGATCAAGGGTCTGGCCGAGGTGAGTTGGCGCGACGACGAGGATGGTCCGCCGCCACCCATACCCGCGGCCGTGTTTCTCTCGCCGCCGCGCAGCCTGGCCGAGAGCTATGCCCAGGACATGCTGCATCACCAGCAGCAGCAGCAGCAACAGCAACAGCAGCAGCAGCAGCAACAGCCGCAGGCAGCGCTCCAAATGGGTGCCACATCAGAGAGGGATCACGATCGGGAGCCCTCCATGGAGAGTGTGCTTGGCCGTATGCCTCCGCAGACCCCACAGCCGGGAACAGGTGCAGGAACAGGAGCCAGCAGCGAGCTGCAGGCGGCCGTTGCACCCGTTGAACACTTTATGGGACCAAAGCGCAAACGGGGACGTCCCCCACTTGACGATGCCTACGATGTATTCAATGTGTAAGCCACTCAGACCTCAGAGATCCCCCACCCACCGGGCCACCTGCTAATGTGCCTCCTTACTCCTTCTCTTTCGTGCGCGGATTAGCCGCAAGCTGGTCCACTATGCTGCCAGCCTGGAGCCCGCCCAGCGAGCATATTTGGAGTCGGCCCGTCACTTTGCCGAGGAGCCGCCACAACAGCTTACCCAACATTCCAGTACGCTGGCCTCCCCGCCTGCCTCCACCTCCAGCCTCCTGCCCAAGCAGCGACAGCGCCACCGCCATCATCAGCAACAGCAACAGCAGCAGCAGCAGCAGCTCCAGGCTGGCTCTGAGCAGGACTCGGATGCAGCCGACAGGGCCAATGGCATTCAACGCGGCAGCTCCACGCCCAAGCCCAGCGATGCCAGCGAGGGGGCCAAGCATGTGCTCGAGGCCAGAAATGAGGCGGATCTGCAGGTGCTGGGCACCTCCACAGTGGGAGCGGCCTCCAAGAAGCTGGAGAAGATTGGCGAGCGGCGGGAGCGTCACGGCAAGCTGCGCCACGCCCGACGCCACTACGGCGGCGCAGAGCACGAGAAGTCCTCCGAGAAGCGTCACGCCGAGGAATCAGCCCAGGGCCAGAGTGCCAGTGCCCTGCCGCAGCCCGTGGAAGAGATCGAGAACGAGCATCTGGTGGCCAATCGGGCCGAGTCGCCCGCTGCCCGCTGCCCGTCAGCGCTGGTGCCCGCCAGTTTCGGCCGCAAGTACGAATCGGGTGTGGGGGGCAGTGCCTCCGGAGGCACTGGCGGCTATTTGCTCCACGAGCATGGCCTGCTGATGCCCCACGAATTTTCACCGAGTGTGGCCAGTGCAGCAGCGGCCACTGCTGCCGTGGCCGTGGCAGCAGCTGCTGCGGTTGCCGCCAGTGCCAGCGCCAGTGCCAATGCCAATGCCAGCAATGGAAGCCACAGCCAGGTCGGCGAACAGGGGGAACTGGAGGACTACGACGCGGCCGAGCTGCGTCTGACCAACGAGGAGCTGTCGGAATGGCAGGACGTGATCAAGATGGACGACTACTTGGCCAAGGGACGTCGTCCGCAGTTCTGGGAGGAGCCGTTCACCAAGCGCGTAAGTCTCCGCATAACCTCACTTATATATTGAGTGCGTTATTGAGTTATATATCCAGGTGCTGGATGCCATCAAGAACAAAAGACTTGAGATGAAGAAGGCCGCTCGCATTTTGGGCGTTTCCTATGGCACACTGTACGGGCGCTATCGCGAGGTCTATGGCTGCCTCAAGCATCCCTACAGGTGAGAAGACGCCCACCATCATCTCCACCATCAACCATGTCATCCTAGTCCGGCACTCCTCTCCACTCTTCCACACAGCTTCACGAACTATCGCAACTTTGGGCCAGCGCCATCAGCTGTTGGCGGCCAGTTGGCCGTCAGTCAGCCTCGCTTCGATCTCAGCCTACGCGCTGGCGCCGCACAGCCATCACAGTTGGGTGGTAAGACAGACAGTCTAGCAATGCTCTCCCCAAGCACTCACTCAATCCGATGTGTATTTGTTTTTCAGAACTGGGAAAGCTAAAGAAGGATCTGAGTGAGCTTTGGACTCGTCCGCAGATTTGAGAGCCACCACCAACAGCAGCCCCAGCAGCAGCAGCAGGAAAACCAACGAAAAAGTCCCGAAATCTGAAGCGCCGCCCACAGGCTGATTAAGGAGAGGGAAGAAGATGCGGTAAAAAGACAAAATGATCACGAGGCTAGTTAAAAGCAGATGAAAAGCGGAACAAAAGCAGAAATCCCACATTAATTTTTAAAATTTTTTTTTTTTTGTCTTCGTGTTATAAACCAATAACAGACCAGATTTAAGGTGTCAGCTAGGGGGAGGGGGAACTTAATATAATATAATAATTAAATATATATTATGAAACTAAATCGATATATATATATATACATGCACACACACGCATATACATATGCAATGTATGCATATTAGCTAATGTAAAGTACAGGCATGGCGGATGCTGTACTAGAAACGGTATTAATCAGCATTCAATGTGAATTATAAGCTGCGTTAAGCAGCGTGTTTCTTTTTTGTGGTAGTGAAATTCTGATAATACAAAACTATGAAATCTAGTTAATCATTAAACGTAATTATAACTGACAAACCGGGGGTATCCCCGCCAACAGTATGGACAATTTTTTTATAAGTTAACAACACACACAAAAACTACAGCAACAGCAAAAACAACAAACAAATATGCATTACATACAAGAAATATGTTTGAAACGAAATACAACAACATCAACTTCAATTATTTCTAAATGCCATTCCGAACGAGTGAATTTTTCGTTTAGCGCGGGTCTGAACTGAGCTTGATTGACATTACTGTTTATCGCACAAAAGAATCATCTGCGTTTTGCACTTCTGTTTATGCCTTGAAGGTGGTTTGATGTGTTTTGCTCGCGCTCCGGAAAAAAAAAGGGAAAGAACAAAACTTTGGTTCAAAATTTAATCCATCAACACGGAATACTAGCCGGTTGTTTGTTTAATCGAGCTTCTTATATAAATATTAAATACATTTGAAGGATTACAATTTTATTAAAGGATTAAGGTGAGTCTTGTGAATTGAAAGTTTTGGTGAAGCAGAGTGTGAAAGTGGCTGACGCCATGGCGTCGAGCCAGAATTGTAAGTCGATTAAGGATATCTCGTCTGATATGGAAGAGTCATCTGATATCTCAGCACCAGACAATTCCGGTAAAGCAATTAAGAAAAACGCGATAATTAAAAAGGCAATTTACAAGGCTCCGCATATGGACAAAAATGTTTCAGGAAGTAAGGTTAAGATGAGCTCTTCAGACTTAAAAGACATGCTTCATACTGAAGTTGTTCAGAAAAGTGGTGTTCTAGCAGATGTTCAGACAAGGATTAAGCAAGGGGAAAAAAATACAAGTGACGACTCAGCAAATCAAAAAAAATGGACGGAATATAAGTATGACGTTAGTTTTGTTGGCGAAGCGGCTGTCATATTTACCACTGGTCTTGAAAATATTTAAAATATTAGGGTTAAGAATGGTCTGTTCTTCTAAGAAAAAATTAAAGGGTTAAAGCTGCCAGGGCTTTGCAATATTGTTGCTCTAGGCATTTCGTCTTACAAGGTATATTTCCAGAATAAAAAGTTTGCAAATGAGGCTGTGAAGAACGCTAATTTAAAAATTATGAACATATCAGCGTATATACCAGGGGATTATGTAGAAACATATGGAGCTATTAAAAATATCCCTGTTGAAATAACAGATGAAGAAATACTGATGACTAGATTAAGACGCAAGGTAAAATCAGAGACAGGGGCTACTGAAGTAGTGTGGGAACCCACTCTATCAGTGAAAATTGGTTTTTCAAATTTAGAAATCTCATCTCCTGTTGTTTTGAATTACTGCAGACTAGAAGTTTCTCATTTTGTACGAAATATTTTACAATGTTTTAAATGTGGACGGATTGGTCACGGTTCATGAACGTGTAATGCAAAGAAGCGTTGTCTACATTGTGGTGCGCTGGAGTTCACATCTCCAAATTGTCAGGTTTACAAATGCATTTTATGTAACAGTAATGAACACACGGCTCATGACAAGAACGTATGTCCAAAATGGACACTGGAGGAAAAAATAATGAAAGTTATTTGTGTAAAGAAATTGTCGAGGAATGAAGTGACATCCCAATACATGATAAATAATCGATTTGATTTATTATCCCAGAATGAAAATGCTTTTCCTGCTTTACCATAGAAAATGCCTGAGACAATAGATAAAAACGAGCTTGTAAACAATATCATAAATAGTAACCGATACACCTCAATAGTAAAAAACACCTTAGTATCCCCACAAAAAAATTTCAATCATTTCTCATTACCATTTTATACTCATGACACTTCAGAACATAAATTCCAATACCCAGTCAAGGAGGATATAAAGTTTGCTGATATATGTGCTCAACTTTTTCGCTTAATAACACCATTCATTAATTCGGATGAAGCGTTATGCGAGTCCTTTCAAGATTTAAAAGAAAAATTTATAAGAACAGGCAAATCTAGTAGAATGTTTTTAGAGAAAAGTTTAAGTCAGAGCCAGACTTTAAAAACACAATAATCATGTCAGTTAAAATAATTCAATATAACATTCGATCGCTCAAAGCAAATAAAAATGACCTAGAGTTTCTGCTTAATAATAAAGATTTTAATTTGCGTGTCTTTCTGAGATCTTCTCCCATGGAGATGATCCTACTTTTAGAAAAATTTTAAATTTTAAATTAAAAAAAAAAATTCCTTTCATGGCTACCTCTGACATATCATATTATACCAACAACCAATTTATCCAGAAATCTCACGATAGCTTCAGCCTATTGTGAGCCAAATGTACCTCTAGATGATTTTAAATCAGACATTAAAAGGCTTTTTGATAGCATGGAAAATCTTCAAGATGTATTCATATGTGGAGATTTTAATGCTCGAAATAGTGTATTCGGATAGTATGACCAATTCCAAAGGTCGTTTCATAGAAGATGTTTCCTTAAATGCTGGTTTCAAGTGGTTGAATGATGGGAGCTTAACCTTTAAACAGTCTCTAAATCTAATGTCGGGTTCAGTTTTGGATTTGACTTTTACCAACTCTGATTTGCTTTTTGACTGGCATATCCGTCCGCTAAGGATTGGTGGCAGCCATTATTTTCCTATATCAATTACAATCCAGAATATCAAAATAAAATCAAAGTTCTTTCTGTCTAAAGTAAAGTTATTTTCAAAACTAAACAACATTAAAGAGTTTCAGAACATTAATGATATAACAAACAAGGTGAAAAATGAAATTAGGTCATGCACTCACATTTTGGAGAAAAGGTCTCCAAAGTTCTGGTGGACTGACGGACTTACACGTTTAAATATAATTTTTAAGTCTACGCAAGCTAAAGCTATCAAATATCCAAATACAGAGAACTTTGAAGCGGCCAGCCAAGCTCGACTAGAATGGAAAAATGCTGTGAAAAAAGCAAAGAGAAACTCTTATCAGTATAAAATTGAAGAGATTAATCAGAGTCCTTCGTCTAGGAATTCTTGGCAATTTTTGAGGAATCTTAAAGGTCAGCTCAGCTCAGATGCAAGAGTGGTCTCCATCCAATAACAGGGAATATTTAGACTTTCTGAGCAATAAAATTCCACAAACAGAGTTAGCTGCAACTGTTCCTAATAACATGGCTAACTCGCAGAGTACACAAGAATTTTCTATGAAGGAATTAAGTGAGGTTATTAGAAATAAAAGATCAACGGCTGGTGGCATTGATGGGATCACATATGAAATACTAGCATCTCTTTCGGAAGAGGAAATACAAAAACTCTTGTCTTGTTTTAATGAGTCATATGATAGCTGCCAATTTCCAAATGCGTGGCGTAGCATTAAGATTTGTCCGATTCCAAAATGTGGTAAACCCCTAGATGACATCAAAAACTTCAAACCAATATCGCTAATCTCAGTTCTTGCGAAATCTGTAAACGTCATGGTTAAAAATAGCTTGTCTGAGTTTGTGGAAAAGAACAAGTTACTTCCCTTTAGGCGTTACGCTTATAGGAAAAAGAAAAGTGCTTCCATATGTATAAGCGATCTTTTGTCAACCATTCACTGCCTCAAACGGCAAAATAAGAAAATAGTTGTTGCTTGCCTTGACATAGAAAATGCGTATAACTGTGTAAATTTGGCGTTCCTAAAAAAAATCATGTTGTGGATAAAAGTTTCTAACCAAATTATACTATGGATTCTAAATTTTTTGTCAGTAAGGTTTTTGCATTTAGGTTCGGAGACTGAGAAGGTTACAAATAGTCTGCCACAGGGAAGCTGTCTGTCGCCAGTTCTTTTTAATCTGTACACTCTTCGGTTACATCAAATTGAGGCCAACGACACCAAGATTTTTCAATTTGCTGATGGTTTCATAATCTTGTCAGCCAAACCCACTTTTTGTGAAGCTGCAATAAATTTACAAGGCAAGATCGACAGTTTTCAGCTCCTTTGTGGAGATCTAGGGCTCAACCTGAATCTAACTAAGTGTTCGGTTATGGCTATGACACCATTCAAAAAAACGAAAGTAAATATCGTTATGAATCTGCAAAGTATCCCTGAAGTCAGGGAAATAAAGTTTCTGGGTAGAATAATCACATCGAGTTTGTCTGACAAGAAACATGTAGAACGAGAAGGAACGTGTGAGTCGCTTCTGGGGACGCGACTCTACTTATACCCGTACTCAGTCAGTATCTACATTTTTGAGCTTATGATTTTTTAGAATTTTAGAAAAAAAAAAAATTTTACATTTTACATTTTTTTGCTACATTTGTTATCTACATCTCATCTACAATGTCTATTCTACATCTAACATGTAGATTGTACATGTACCATTTAGATTATACATCTCCTCCGCTAGGGGTTGCTTGCGCACTGAACGCGGCAGAGTGTGCGAGCGAGAAGGAAAATGATTTGCGTTGTCGTTGGCGGGAGGGGGAGGGGAAGCAACTGAAAATTAATTTCTTCATTCTGGCTATAATTATGATCCGATCTGATTCAGATTCGGCAATCTGGTAGATATGGCCATTCTCTACGATACTGCGTTTTTAGTTTTATCGTATCTTTAAAAATGTGCCTGCCACAGATTTTCGTCCTTTGTGGGAGGGGAAGGGGGCGGGGCGAAATTTTGAAATACACTTGTAGCAGTGTGATATCACATGAGTCTGGAAACAAAATTTGGTTCCTCTAGCTTTTATAGTCTCTGAGATCCAGGCGTCAAACAAGACGGACAGACGGACAGACGGACAGACAGACATGGTTTATCTGGCT